TTCGGTTTCACTGATTATAGTTCGATATATGGGTTCCAAAATAGCCAAACTGAGGCTTATGATTCGATGTCTGAATTGGACTTAAAATCAAACCAATCCAAACCGAGTCCAGCCCTAATGATAACACAAATTTTTTTGGTCGTTAGATGACTTGGCGGGCATCTGTGAGAGGACATGTGGGTATGGGGCTGGATAGGTGGACATGCGGGTATGTGGCTGGCGGTGGTATATATGGGGCTAAATCTGATTTCTATTACTTGCACATGATTCAATTAAAAGTAAGTTACGCTATTGGGAAGATGACGTGTTGAGAATACATGCTATGCAATCATATAGCCCTAATTTAAGGACGATAGTGATTGGGGTATAATTTAAAGACAATTGCTACAATTAAACCCTTATTAATAAGCCTTTAAGGACAATATTGTAGTTACTAGCCCCTTGAAGATGATAGTTTATGGCATTAGCCTTGATCTACTGATCATATGATAGTTCATGTTTTTATTGCTTTTAGAGATTTTTGTAGAAATGTCACATGAACTTATATATCAGTTTCAATTTGTCACCTTAAAGAAAAATTTAAGCGAAATGTCACTTTAACTTTTCAAAATTCATGATTTGTCACCGACTTTAACATAATCTAATTTTCCATCCATTTTGAAGGGTATTTGATGTATAAGTTTAGGTGACATTTCTACAAATATCCCTTGCTTTTATAGTCATGCTGTTTTTTATGTAGCGGAACAAGAACAAAAGATAATTTCGATTAAACTTAACTCCGTTGATTCTAAGAATACTCGGAACTAAGCTCTAATTTGTTAATTCTGAGAATACCCAAGGAAAGAGTAAAGAGATGAGAGAAAACTCTCGATCTTCATTCAATAACAAACATCAATTGCCCATTTCTTACAATTTCATGTATTATTTATAGGTGCCTCTTGCTCAAGATGAGATAATAACTCTCCTACACCCTTCCTATCCCAACTTCCCTCTTAATGATAACTTCATATTAAACCTCCCTATAATTCACAAAGATGAAAAGACTCTCCATAACTTTATTCATGAACCTAGATAACTCCCACATACGAAAAGACACTTATTTGTTATAGGTTATTAAGACTTTCCTCATGCGTGAACGTGATCCCAATGATCCATGTATGTATTTGCTAAACTCGTTGCATCATCCTCTCTGGGTTGACAAAAATTCTCTCTCGAATTTATGCCTTATTGGATTAAAATCATGTTCATTTATTGTTGGTCTTCAAACTGAAATCTCCCGCCACTCCAAAGAAATAAATATTTTGAATATTTGAATATTTTCCAATTGTGTAAATTCTCCATGGCCAATCTCTTAATCCAAATATTTTGAATTATGGTATCAACCAAAGTGGTTGCTATATGATGATGGAAATTATCAATCCTCATGAAATCAATATATTCAACAACTTTGAAAGTATCATGAGAGTTGAGTAAAGCGATGGACATCGACAATTGCAATATGAAGGTTGACATAATTTTCCACAACTTCTTCAATGCAATCCATATGTTTCAATTTCGTGTCAAAAACCTTCTCAACTGTAAAATAATAATCACAACAAATCTCGCAAGAACCATCTGAACATCGATCAAATACTGGACGGAGATCCAAATGTAATAAATGATCAAATGTATGATCACCACTAACCATTTCTGATAACAGCTAATGTAGATTTGACTAACTACACAATTGGCGCACAAATCCTCCCCAAGATTTCAGTTTTGCAACAGAATCCCGCTATGATACCAACTGATGCAGCGGTACAAGAACAAAAGATAATTTCGAGCAAACTTAACTCCGTTGATTCTAAGAATACCCGTAACTAAACTCTAATCTGTTAATTCTAAAAATACCCAGGAAAAGAGTAAAGAAATGAGAGAAAACTCTCAATCTCCATTCAATAACAAACATCAACTGCCCCTTTCTTACAATTTCATGCATTATTTATAGGTCTCTTGCTCAAGATGAGATAACTCCTCATAACTCTCCTAAACCCTTCCTATCCCAACTTCCCTCTTAATGATAACTTCACATTAAACCTCCCTATAATTCACAAAGATGAAAAGACTCTCCATAACTTTATTCATGAACTTAGATAACTCCCACATATGAAGAGACACTTATTTGATATAGGTTATTAAGACTTTCCTCATGCATGAACGTGATCCCAATGGTCTATATATGTATTTGCTAAACTCGCTACATCAGTTTTGTTTGGCTCCAGTGCCTTATAGAATACGTCTTTCGCCATGGCAATCTTTTAAGTCGTGTAAAGCCTGCGTGAAGAAAAAGAATTCTCATGCAAAGAGACTAGTAAGGTTCGTAACGGGAGTCTGTCTTTATACAATGACAGGTTCAACTGTTCGACTTGTTAAACTGTCTATGTGAAGGTTCTTGGCCCTTGGTGATTGACCCCTAATCAGAATTCTAATAAACTTGAAGATATCTAAAAAGTAATCAGTTTTCTTTCTTTTTATTTCATCTATAATAGTAAGCGAATAAATACTATGGCCTCTTTTACAAACCTAGAGCATTCAATATTTGAAGCACATGTAACAACATAGCAGCTTTTATACTAACTTCTTAAACATTGCGCCCATAATTTTTCTTCAACGTAGTTTTTTTCAATTCGTCTAATCATCGGTATGAAAGAAAATTCTCGGTAGATGAATGAACTTTTGAAATTTTTTAAAACCCCCTCTCTTGATGTTGGGGTCAAAAGCCATAATAAGAATCCGAATCTACTCTCTTTTACCCTTTAACACCACCCCCACCAACAGCCCCCCACCCAACAAAAAAAAAAGCTGGCATCACAGAGCAAACACACAACTTTTTTTTCGTCGTCTGATGACTTTTGGGGTACCTGTGAGATGATGGGTAGGTGTAAAGCAGGATAGCTGGTTCGTAGTATGGGGCTAAATCTTCTTTCTATTACTTGCACACGACTCTATTAAAAGTAAGTCAGGCTACTGGGAAGAGGAAGTATTGAGAATACATGCTATGCAACGAGAACCCCAAATTAAGCACGATAGAAATTGGAGGACGAAAATGTGATTGAGGATTATTTAAGGACAATCGCTACAACTAAGCACAAGTTGAGGTTTCACACGTGGACAAACGCGCTCTGATATCATGAAGGAAGTTGACGTTCACTCCAAAACCAATTGGCAAAAGAGAGAGTACTTCAACTCTTCAAAAGCCATTACTAAATTTATTAACTTTCCAATGTGGAACATTTTCTTCTTTACATTGTCATACTTTAGCCCTTAGAGATTGACACCTTATCCGAATTTTGATAAGGTATCTAAAAATTAATCCCTTTTTCTTTTCTTATTTCATCAATAATAGTAAGCGAATAAATACTATATCCCTCTAACTTATTAAGCAGTGCGGCCAAACTTTATGTTCAACATCTTAGTCTTCGCAAAAAAAATTTAAAGAAATTTAACCCCAGCTCAAGAATTGGACTCGGTTTCAAGTTACGATCACAAAGCGGAATCCACCTTCTCTCTTTATTGGGCTCAGGGTTGGGAGAATAGGTGGGGCAGTAGGCGGGTGTGGGTGTGTCTGGCCGTGGGGTTTAAAGCTACTTTCTTTTCCACTTCTATTCAACAGTGAAAGTAGTTCAAGTCACTTAACAGGTGAGAGGACGCGTTGAGAGTTAATATTATGCCACGTCCGTTTTTGAGTGCATTTTTCTGACCACCCTTAAGCCTCACCAACCCTTTCAAAAGTTTGGCATATGTAAATGGGTTAATTTCAGTTTGGTACTCTGTAGTTTTACTCTTAAGGTATCCCGTAGTTGTACCATACGGGATACCAAACTGAAATTAACCCTATGTAAATTAAAGAAACTATGATTAATAGTTTGCAGGTAATATGTTTTTCATGCAACAATTATGAGAGAAATTTATGTATTCATTAAAAATTATTTCTTCTATAAATTTTTTCTTTCCTTGCAACTTTTGCTTTTTGCAAATGTGAGTTGGTTAGTTGGCCAAGATAGTGTGCCCACATTATAGCACTCGAGATCGATTTTCCTCCCCCTAGATTAGAGTGCCCATCTTGTTGCGCTTGAGTTCGAACTAAGCTAATGGGGATTTGAACTGGAGTGGAATGACATAATCACATGGTATAACAAAACAACGTAGAATAATGCCAAGACCATTCTCATAATCCTGAGAGTTAAATATAAAGACGACGTTGTATTTTATTATATATGAAATCTTTATAGAAGGTGCACTATAACTAATGGCTGTTGGACAAAGAACAAAAAAACATGGGTGTCGAATTCAGAAAAAACTTAATACCTTGATGTATATATCCTCTTAGTCCTCAATCTTAAATCTTTCTTTAGACTATTGCGTACTTGTGTTAATTTACAAGTTCATTTACAAAGATGATTACCAATTTCCTCACACTTAGAAGAAGAATAATAATATATAACAATACTTGATTATTCCCTAAAGAATCTAACATCGAACCAGCAACTTCTCTTCTTCTTCTTCTTCTTCTTCTTCTTCTTCTTCCTTTATCATTATTTTCCACAATCTCTTCTTGACTAGGATCCAACTCGACAAGTTACCTAATCAAGCTCAAAATTGAATTTATTGTATTTTTTATTCCTAAAAAACCGCCAACTAAGCCATTATTGCATTTTGTATATTACAGTAGGGACTAATATAGAAACAATTTTTAATTGGATGGTATCTAGGAAATAGAAATTGTAGGGGCCTATATTAAACTAGTCATTTTATCATGGTTCTTGATCATAATACGTTATGATATACTCAATTAGAACATGAGTATTCAACTCAAAATTAATTGGCAATGAGTGAGATTCACACTCTCAACAATCTTAGCTCTATTTTGCACGGAAGATCAATTAACAATGAGAGAGAAATATTTTTTTTTTTTTTTTTTTGTGAGAGAGAGAGAGAGAAATACTTTCTAAGGAACCAAAATGAAGAAGTGTTCGCCCATAAAGATTCGCAAGAGTTTCCATGAGAGAGAAATTTGTTTTGAGCAATTAACGCCAATTGATGGAGATAGGATAGAAAACATTAATGGAGAAGGGTGCAATTGGATTATCTTTCCACAACCAGAGGTTAGGGCACGGGAGCAAAACCAGACTCTGAAGGTAGTCCCAATGGAATCTTTGGATTGCTTTTCTGTACAGTAGTACAGAAAAAAGGAAAAAAAAGAAGGTCTCAACTTTTCTCTCTGTCCCCGTACTTTAGCTTTAAAGCCCACTTGGCTTTACAAAAAAGAAAGCAAAAAAGAAATAAAAATGATTTTGAATTATTATTTTCACGTGTAGAAGTTACGTACTCCCTCTATATAAACCCCATGCAATATAGCAGGAAGAGCACACCTAGCTCGATCATCAAAAACCCTCCACTCAGTTATGGCATTGCAATTCCGCTCTTTGCTCTTGTGTGTGGTGCTGCTTCTCCTTGGCTTTGCGTTGGCAAATACCAATGCTGCCAGGACAGATCCACCCGTTGTTTGTGCAACTCTCAACAGGACCCATTTCGATTCTCTTTTTCCAGGGTTCACATTTGGCGCAGCTACAGCAGCTTACCAAGTCAGTGCATTCTGGGAGCTTAATTAATATTACTCTTGAATTTGTTTTCAATATCAGATCATCTAGCATGTCTCATTTATGAATTTTGGCATCTTCATTCTGTAAATCGTGTTTTATATATATATATCTGTATGTGCATTTCAGCTAGAAGGTGCTGCAAACATAGACGGTAGAGGACCAAGCGTATGGGATAACTTCACCCATGAGCATCCAGGTCTGTTGAATCAAACAAACAATTAGTTAACAAATCTACAATTTTCTATTTTTTTTAGGTGACTAAATTGATGATCCGTTACTTCATTTCAAAAGCTATAAACAATGTATAAACAAGCCAATGCTTCATGGAAATTAGTTATTCTTCACTTACAAAGTGCTCAGTGGGAACTGCGTAGAAACTATGACCTTACCCAGCAAAGATCTGACAACTCCCCTAGATCAAAGAAGATAGTTAGAAAGTTGTAAAAAATGGAATAAGGGTAATCATGGAAAATAAAACTCGAATTTTTAATGTATTAATGTATCATTCAAAAATGTAATTAAGAGGAATAATACATCGCATGAGAAGAAGTGAGAAGTTCCAAGCAAGATGGTTAGGGTGAATGTTGCTAGCATTCCTCTATTTAAATATCTCGATAGCTAAATTACTCTGTATCTTTATTTATAACTAAAATTACATTTGATTAATTGCAGAAAAGATAACCGATGGTAGCAATGGAGATGTTGCTATTGATCAATATCACCGTTATAAGGTTTGAAAATCACATAATTGTATTATGTAGACCTTCTATATTTGAATTTGAATAACACACGACATTAAAGATGATATTCTTAATTTTTAGCTTCTTTTTTTATAATTATGTACATCTTTTGTGTCATTATAGGAAGATGTGGCAATTATGAAGGATATGGGGTTGGATGCTTATAGGTTCTCTATCTCATGGTCCAGATTGTTACCAAGTAAGTTGATCATCCGCATCCACATATATTATTGCGATCGACCAATCGCTTTAATGTTTAACATCTTTTATTCAATTTAATTCCTATTTCATGATAGGTATTGGCTTATATTTTCTTGTTTTGTTTTAATTATTATTAGATGGAACACTAAGTGGTGGAATTAACAAGAAGGGAATCGAATACTACAATAATCTCACCAATGAACTCCTACGCAATGGTGATGCAGCTCCCAATCTCATAAAATCCTCCTAATAACAGTACCTGCAGTTGTTTAATCAAACTTTTAATTTTCTTTTACTGGTCATGCTATATATAGGTATAGAGCCATTAGTGACACTCTTTCACTGGGATGTTCCCCAAGCCTTAGTAGACGAATATGGTGGTTTGTTAAGCCCTCGTATTGTGTAAGTGGACAAATTCCATCCTTTGTATAATATTGATCACTTAATTATATAAATACTATTATATACAATAAATATATTTTTAAATGTGTACACGCAGCGATGACTTTAAAGCATATGCAGACCTTTGTTATAAGGAATTTGGTGATCGAGTAAAGCATTGGACCACACTTAATGAGCCATATACCATTAGTAACCATGGTTACACAATCGGGATCCATGCACCAGGACGTTGCTCTGATTGGTTTAACCCAAAATGCCTTGGTGGAGATTCGGGTACTGAACCATATTTGGTAACACACTACCTACTCCTTGCTCATGCAGCTGCTGTAAAATTGTATAGGGAAAAATATCAGGTACTTTTCTTTTTTTTTTTTTTTTTTTTTTTTTTTTTTTTTTTTTCACAGAAAACATGGATTGGTCGAACAAAACATTGGGGTCCAACTAGTAATAGTATTATGTAACAACATAAGTGGGAATACTTTTTATATTGAGATAAACAATGGTTGTAATAATATATTTTTTTTGGCTCTAAATAAAAAAAATATATATTTATCATTCTTGTGCAGGCATATCAAAATGGTGTCATAGGAATAACAGTTGTATCACATTGGTTTGAGCCCGCTTCGGAGTCACAACAAGATAAAGACGCTGCATTTCAAGCTTTGGATTTTATGTATGGATGGTAAGTATATTATTAATTTATATATCAACTCATTTAAATGCTTTATTTATGAATTATAACTTCAATTCGGCAGCCAGTGGTACTTTATATAATGTTATAAGTTCACGTTTGGAATTTTCATAGGTTTATGGACCCATTGACAAGAGGTGACTACCCGCAGACCATGCGATCTATTATTGGTGCACGATTACCGAATTTCACAGATGAACAATCCAAGTCACTGAGTGGGTCATATGACTATATTGGAGTAAACTACTACTCCGCTAGATATGCAAGCGCTTATCCTAAGGATTATTCTGTATCTACACCTCCAAGCTACCTAACAGATGTTCATGTTAATGTTACAAGTGAGTACAAATTGAAAATTTCAAGAAATTAATGTAGTTTTCCTAATAATTAGATCCTAATATTCATATTCATTTATGTTGTAGCAGCTGATCTTAATGGGGTCCCTATTGGTCCACGGGTATGCAATAAATTATTAGCTTAAGTTATTGGGATTTCGAGAATTAATAGCTATATATGCATATATTTTTGTTTTCCATATACACATAAAGTGCTAAAATTCTCACTGATCTTCAAATGGGATTGCAGGCTGCTTCAGACTGGTTATATGTTTACCCAAAAGGACTTTACGATCTTGTACTCTACACAAAGGAAAAGTATAATGATCCAATTATGTACATTACTGAGAATGGTAATTAATATTTTTAAACATTAATTAATTGCATCTTCAATGTTTCATATATATGTATAATGGTGTAAAATAAAGTGAAGTGTTAGTAAACTCTAAACTTAAAACTAAATGTACATTTTTTTTCTTTGGTTAAACAAATTGTATGCATTTGATACTGCATTATATTGCAGGCATGGATGAGTTCAATAATCCCAAATTATCACTTGAGCAAGCCCTTGATGATGCTAATAGAATTGACTACTACTATCGCCACCTCTGTTACCTCCAAGCAGCAATGAAGTAAGTTTTTGTCAATAAACTATTTGAGGCTATATATGTTTTGGCCTTCTTACATTTCGTTATTTAATCACTATATTAAACCAATTATGTTTTTTTTTTTGGTGTTTGTAGGGAGGGTGCTAATGTGCAGGGATACTTTGCATGGTCTTTGCTAGACAACTTTGAATGGAGTGAAGGATATACTGTTCGATTTGGTATCAACTATATTGATTACGACAATGGACTGGAAAGACACTCAAAACTCTCGACGCACTGGTTCAAAAGTTTTCTTAAGAGATACTCAATTAGTAAGAAGAAAATCCGAAGATGTGGGAACAATAATGGTAGGGCTACCAAATTTGTGTATCAAATTTGAATCCCAAGGATGGATAAAGTACAATGGCTCCTCCATAGTGGTTGTGCTAGTTGTTTTTCATGTTTTAACTTTTTGTTTGACTTTTTCTGAGTTGGAATAAGTTGCAACAACTCATTATGAGTTAGTTGTCTTTCTTTGTGAGGGTTTAGTTTTAATTTTAGTTTATGTTGTTGATGTGCCTCGTTTATCCAAGTTTGTTGACTTTATGCGGTGGAGGTGCTTTGGCCGGTTGTGGATATGGTTGGAGGGATACCTTATTGTCTAGATGTTGTTGATGTATCCATCATGTGTCTGTATTCATCCTTGTGATCAATGCCCTTTACGGCTAAATTATAAATGTAATTTCTTCTAAATAAAAACTAAAATAAATAGATGTTGAGCCTTGCCTGAAATATTTGCTACTTAAGGCATTTAGTTTGATTTAAGTTGAAATGAACTAACAAGGTACTAGTGTATAAATTCTTTATAGATCTATTAAAAATTCAAAAGAAAATGATCGATCAAGTGCTTATTTGAGAAAACGTCAAGTCGGCTATAAGGACAATACTTTTCTTCAAACAAAAACTAATGTTGCTTGCATAATTAATTTCATGTGTACAAATTATACATAGACTTTAGCTTATATATGTTTTAATTTCAATACAACATTCCTTACGCCACATAAACTTTAGCTTTCTTTCTAAATGAGATAATTATTTATTTTTCCAAAAGAATGATCGGCCACCATGAGAGACTTTTTTTTCTCTGTAATTATATTTACCCCTACAATATTTCTTCCTGCACAATACCATCCATTTATCAAACAAAACAAAACAAAACAAAATTTACGAGCCAGTCCAATTTGATCTCAGTTGCACCGAATCCTAATTTCCTCTCGCAACTAATTATAGATTTGTTGGCGCAACTGTCAACCCATTCAACAATTTCATTGTCGTGCCAATGAAGGGCTTCTGGATCTCTTGTCTCCTTCTATTCATGGTGTTCCCCGCCAGTTAAAGCCGTCGAAAATACCGAACTAAATATGAAAATTAAAATTTCTTTAAACTTTTCTTTTCCTGAAGGAGTCTCTTAAGGAGCCAACTTTTAAATAATCATAGTTTTTTTTATACCTTAAAGTTTTTTTATACTTAGTCTTCACGGTTTAAATATGATTTTAGGCTAAAACCTGAATGGTTTTCTTGTAAATTTGTATATTTTTTGTCTTAAACTTGACGTGACATGTCCAAGATACTCAAGACTGATGTTATTTACACTTGCTGCAATCTGTAATATTGCAAGACATATATAAACTTAACGTGCAGATGTTAGCTGGCTACACTCTCTGCACCCTCTTTCGATATATGTATTCCCTCTAATACTGATAGCAGTTTAGAACAAGCAGAATCAGACAAGAGAGAAAATCTTAATCTGTTCTCGTGTATAGCTTTGCTTACCTTAACAGAAGCTTAACAATCTAACAACCACCAAACTGAGTTTAGCTCAAGCTAACTAATAGCACGTGACCTCCACATGACCTCTTAACTAATTAATAAACTTTTAGAATGCCAACTCTTTTTGAAACCAGCCAAAATTATCCGGATGGTTAATTTGTAGGTGCAGGCCTGCAAGTGGGCACCTTTTATTAGTTGTTATATATCATATACTTGCAATTGTATATACGTTCATGCCCCTCGTAGCACCTTTGTAGGGCCATCATGTATCATTTTTCAATGATCCGAACTGTCTAATTTTAGATATTCCTTCAAAGATTATCTGTACAAAAAATCACTTGAATTTGAAATCATTTAACCACTCAATTATATGATTATTATTTTAGTATTTTCTTTTTTTTTGAAACACAAGGGCGATAGTGTATTTATTAATGAGGGAAAAAAGTAACAAGTACAAAAATCGGGCACAAGCCCTAGAGGATTAGGCGAGTACTCTACACCGAGCGAAGCGTAGTGGTCGTCGGCTACGAAGTAGCCTACCTCCTCAACCGCAAGCGGGAGGAGGAACCTTGCCTCCGATAGATGATTATTATTTTAGTCTTTTCTTGAAAGCACTGTGTTCGTCTATTTTATTGCATGCAATTAGATGCTTTAATAATTTTCAATTTGTCTAACTTTTTGCCAAGATGATAGAATGAATGAAGACTTGAAAAATAAACGGTTTGGATTGTTAAAAAAATATTCGTAGGATACCCTACAATGTGTTCCTCAAATAATCCGAACCCTGAAGACTTGAAAAATAGACGCTTTGAGGGATACCCTTGTAGGGCATACTCTGGATTGTATTTCATTAATCCCTCTATTTTGTAGATATTCATTCAAATATCATATCTATAAATAAAAAATCACTTGAATCTGATATCATTTGACCACTTAATTAAATTATTTAAAATTTAGTATTTTTTTAAAGCACCGAGTTCATTGATTTTGTAAGACACAATTAGATAGGTTTTAGATTTTTCTAATTTTTTGTAAGGATGATCCATGAATGAAGACCTAATAAATAAATGGTTTGGATCATTAAAAAAAAATGCGTACGGTTACCCTAAAAGTCGTCCCTCAAATATATATATATATATATATATAATGCTTAATTAAATTATATATACTTGACTTGTTAGCTGCACACGCATTAGGAGATAACAGCAAGAAATTACGTGCAGAAGTAATGATGATTTTTCAGATGGATTGATACCGCTTGTCCAATTGCCACCGTGCTGTAAATACTTTGGCGTCGAAGTTATACCTTCCACAATAAATTAATATATGAATGATAAGCATGCACTAATGACTTTTTGTTTGCGAATCCACATACAAATCTATTTGCAATCTTTGCTTTGAAAAATCAAGCAGCTGATCAAGACTGGTTCAAATGGAGATGCGGTCAAATCTTTTATGGCCTCTCAACTAATGGACTTTCACATACTCTCCGCCCTTTTTCCCCTTGTTAATAACAAAGTTTTTCTCCCTCATTGAACCCATTTTGCTCAGGCGGCTGTTCAAAGAAGTAATAGCTCAACTAATTTAGTAAAAGAAGATTATCTTTAACAATTTTCTTAGATGGCAAAAATTTTAGCTTTAAATGATCATTTTTTTCGTACTTAAAAGTATATTAATATATTGCAAAGGTTTCTTTCATTGCCAAATTTAAGAAAGGGAATGGTGTTTTCTCACATACACTATCAAGGTGCTGTAGATGTTCGAACATAAGATCACTGATATGTTAAGGCCCTTTTTCTGGGCTACATCTCATTGGCTATTGCAAAGGTTTCTAATTACTATGAGGATGTGAAGAAATGTCTTAGAAAGTTAAAAGAACCTTACATAGGATTATAGAAGGAGTTGGGCTAGTACTCTTCATTTGTATGGACTTATAAGGAGTTGGACTACTCCACTCATTACTAATTGATTTTGGGGTGGACGAAGCCAAACGTGCAACACGTGATGGCTACTCCCTTACATTATTGAATTGTTTATTATATATATTACTCCAGTACCACACTTCAATTACCCCATACGTTGAAGTTGAGATCCCCAATTTTTATTTTCTTTCTTACAATTATATATATATATATATATATATATATATGTCTGTTACTATATGCAGGAAGATGTGGATTATGAAGAATATAGAGTTAGATGCTTATAGGCTCTCTATCTCATGGCCCAGACTATTACCTAGTAAGATAATCATCCTAAATACTGTACATAACAGTCCTTTTTTGTTCCCTTTTTGTTCTTGCTACAACACTTACTCCCTTCATATTTTTAACTGAAGCAAAAGTTTGTCAACTGTAACCAACATTCTTTTTCAATTAAAACAGTAAATTGAAAGAAGTGAAAAAAATTAAATCATAGTAGAATTCAAGGCCAAAAATATATAACAAATTTTTTGCACTTTAATTCTGTTGTTAGATTAACGTATTTCCATATTTGTTGTGTTTTCTTTCTAATTATTAGATGGAAAGCTAAGTGGGGGAGTTAACAAGACTGGAATCAAATATTATAACAATCTCATCAATGAACTCCTAAGAAACGGTGAATCATCTCACCGTACATGTTCAATGATTGATATGTAAATCTCTTAAAACATCATTTAATCAATTTAATTTGCTTTTACGGATTATGTATTTATCTAGGAATAAAGGTGTTTGTGACAATCTTCCATTGGGATCTTCCCAAGGCTTTAGAAGAGGAATATGGTCGGTGTAAGCGAGCAAATTCTGTCGTCCATCTAATATTGTATATAATTAAATACATATTACTATAACATATACAATTTGAAATGTGTGTACAGAAATCATTTTAGGAACTATGCAGATCTTTGTTTTAAGGAATTTGATGATCGAGTAAAGGATTGGATCACATTGCCATATTCTGTTAGTAACATGGATTATGCAATCGGAACCTTTGCACTTGGCCAATGCTCTAGTTGGCAACAATTAAACTGTACTAGTGGAGATTCTTCTATTGAACCATATGTGGTGACACATCACCTCCTCCTTTCTCATGCAGCTGCTGTCAACTTGTACAAGAAAAAATATCAGGCATGCTTAATTATTAACTTTTGGTCAGAATATATGGTCCTTATTGAGAATTCTATACTAGTCACTAGTAGTATTAAGTTGCAATAGAAACGGGAATTAATACTTCGAATATCGAGATATATAAAGATTGTCCCTTATACTTTTGGCTACAAATCAACCATAAAATAATGTTCTCGTGCAGGCATTACACATAAAATAATGTTCTCGTGCAGGCATTACAAAGAAGCACGAGGCACAATAGGAATAACACTAGTGTCACATTTCTTTGTGCCAGTTTCTAATGCACACGCCATCAAAATGCTTTTTACGATCTTTGGATTTTATGTTTGGATGGCAAGTAAAATTGCATACCAACTCAATTAATTAAATGCTAGTTCTAAATATAATATTTAGTAGCTCGTACGAATTATATAATACTAAGTTATTGGTTGGAACTTCTATGTTTTTTTAGGACTAAATTATTATCCTACTTACTATGCAAGCTATGCCGGTCACAACAATTCCATAAACGCAAGCTACTTAATAGATGCTCGCGTTAATCAATCACGTGAGTACAGATTGAACTTAATTACTTGGAGCTATTTAAGTTTTGTAGAAAAATTAAATTATGATACACAGGGGAGCTTAATGGAGTTCCTATTGGTCCACAGGTACATATCAAAATAATTTTTAGCATAATTTGGACATGTCATCATTTTCCACATGCAAATGTAACTCCTAAAAATCTCAATTATCTTCAAATAGGATTGCAGGTTGGTTCGTACTGGTTATATGTTTATCCAAAAGGAATTCATGATCTTTTACTCTACATAAAAGAAAAGTAGAATACATTTTTAGAATGCATAAAGTACATTATATTAATTGTAGACGTTGATGAGTTGAATGATCCATCACTATCACTTGCGCAAGCCCTTAACGATACAAATAGAATTGACTATTACCATAACCACACCTATTATGTTAAAGCAGCAATCAAGTAAGTGTTTATTAGCATATGATTTGATTAAGACTGGGTGTTGCATCCGCACATTGACATTTTTTTTTCCTTTCTACTTTATTTTTTCTGCATGCAGAAAGGGTACCAAAGTAAAGGGATACTTTGCATGGTCATTACTAAACAACTTTGAATGGAATTTTGGATACACTGTTCAATTTGATATCAACTACATGGATTACAACAATGGACTTAAAAGGTACTTAAAAACGCTCGGCACACTGGTTCAAAAGGTTGCTCAAGAAGTGAAGAAATCTGATTATAGGTATTGCTTCCATATTTGTATTTCCTTCAATAACGTGGATGCTGTTAGTGTACAATCATGTGAGTGAGGGGTGTCAAATTTGTATATACCAAATTTGAATCCCAAGACTATGAACTAAATTATAATAAATCACATGCGATATGCAAATATTGTTGAGAGTAATTGTCCCATATTGAAAAGTTAGGGAATTTAGCCTGGATTTATAAGGAGTTGGATTACTCCACCAATTGCCAATTGGTTTTAAAGGGAACCTCAACTTCCTTCAAATATCACATATATATCATAATCAAGAACAAGAACAATCCGTTTGACACCTCTACTCTCATTACAGTTTCTCTGCTTAAGGGAATACTATATAGCCACTCTTACAGCTAACAAAACTAAAGCATCAATATGAATCATATCTGACAGTATATATCCGGTACTTCTGATTTCTTGAACATAGGTCACGTGGCGGACAGCTTTCTTGAACATAGGTAACGTGCTATGAGTATATTTCTTGAACCAAAAAATCTTTTGAAATCTCAACTCTTTTCGAAACCGGCCAAGTTTACCGGAATGGTTAATCTGTAGGTGCAGGCCTGTACGTACACACCTTGCTTGTACAAGTTTTTATCATATATACATGTTGTAATTATATATATGTTCCTCGTGCTCCTCATGGAATTTTATATACATACAGGAGATTCCGAAAGAATTCCCAAAATCACATGCGATACGCAAATCAACATTTAATAATAATCAACACCTTCAAATACATAATTCCCACAAACCAATGCTTAATTAATGTGTATAATATATGTGTATAGAATTTTCAGATGCTTCGTACTGCTGGAACGGGAGAATGGATAACAAGCGAGCCTGTAATGTATAATACACTTGGATTATATGTTGGCGCTTGTGCAAAGGGTATTCTTGAAGGAAGTCGAGGTTTAACCCTAAAATTAATTGATAATGAAGGAAATAAATGTGTGACATTTCTTCACATTCTCATAATTCTATGGCTAATTAACCAGCCAAACTCAGGCTCAAAGGATCCTTACTGCCGGCTGTGATATCAGGAAAATAGTTTTTTTAGCTGGATTGCAATAAAATGGTTTAAGATTTTATCACACTTGGTTTTTTTTTATTAGGAAAATACTTCATTCCTTTCCCGGTAAGTAGAAACTCTTACATTCTTGCCACTGGCAGTTTGACATGTGTGTGGAAGTTTTTATTTTTGTGTTTTTGATGAATTATTTTTGCACATATGTCAAACCGTGATTTGCAGGAAGGAGATGTGAGAATGTGAAGGTAAGAGTCCCACATTGAAAAGTTGAGAAACCTAGCAAAGGCTTATAAGGAGTTGGGCAACTCCCCCCATTTCCAATTAGTTTTGGGGTGGAACCTCAACTTCCTTCATGGAATCAGAGCGGGTTGCCCACGTGTGAAAGCCCAACGGCCACTGATGCTCCACGTCACCCATAATGTGTTGTCCACGTGTTAGGCTTGAAAATTCACCACGCATGCGGGGGCGTGTGAGAATGTGAAGGTAAGAATCTCACATTGGAAAGTTGAGAAACCTAGCAAAGGCTTATAAGGAGTTGGGCTACTCCTCCATTGCCAATTGGTTTTAAAATTTAAAAGATTTTCCCATGCACAAAAGAAATATATTCTGCATGCAGATGCAGACGCACGAGACTTAATAATCATTTACAAAAAGAATTTCGTACGATTTGGCAGAACCTGATCAGCACACCCTTTGAATTCCAAACGTGTTTACAAAAACATTATTATTGAATTGTGAAGTACGTACACCTTCCTCTATATAAAGGACATGCAATATGCAAGGAAGAGCCAACTTACCTAGATCACCAAAGGCCTCAAGTTAGCTATGGCAATGCAATTAGGGTCTTTGCTGTTGGGTCTGGTGCTAGTCATTGGCTTTTCATTGCAAAGTAGCGAAGCTGCTACAGATCCACCAGTTGTTTGTGACTTTCTCAACAGGAGCAGTTTCGAAACAGGGTTCGTATTTGGTGCGGCTTCAGCATCTTACCAGGTCAGTCCATTGCGGGGCTAATTAAATTACTCTTTACTTTGTGGTCATGTGATTAATTAGGTTTAATTTACTTTCAATGCCAGACCAATAATAAGCATTCATTATCTACGTACTCTTACATATATTTGTATATGTGTGTGTGTACATTTCAGTATGAAGGTGCTGCCTTTGAAGATGGTAGAGGACCAAGCATATGGGATAACTTCACTCACCAATATCCAGGTCTGCCTCTAAAAAAAATAATCACTTAAGAGTTAAAATATGAAAGTGGAGCTAACTTAAATCTTTTAATTTGTTTCTTAATTTTATATGCACAAGTTGGTATTACATACGTACATGCATAATAGAGTACATGATATGATTTCTCCCATCTTTGTGGTCTAATATATAGGCAAAAATTTCTATGGTTAATTGCAGAAAAAATCGCGGATGGGACCAACGGAGATGTTGCTATTAATCAATATCACCGCTATAAGGTTCAAAAATCTCATAATTTGTAAGAAAACATAGGGGCATCGAAGATGAGCTCCTCAATTTTTATTTTCTTTCTTATGATTATATGTACTTGTGTCTTACTATATATAGGAAGATTTGGCAATTGCGAAGAACATAGGGTTGGATGCTTATAGGTTCTCTATCTCATGGTCCAGATTGTTACCAAGTAAGTCGATAATCCTCAATATGTACACATGGCAATTCTGTTTGTTTTTCTTTTTTCTTTTTTGTTTGCTAGAAAACACTTTCCTTATTCTCTATTGTACAATATAACCAGGATTCGTTTGTTCGAGGCCAAGAATATATAGTTTAACTTTTCTTAATGGTAATTTGTACTTGTTAGATCGAGTTATTTCCTTATTTGTTGTGTTTTTGTTTTTAATATTATTAGATGGAAAGCTAAGTGGGGGAGTAAATCAGGCTGGAATTGAATATTACAACAAGCTCATCAATGAAACCATACGCCAAGGTAAAGCATATCTCACCTTAAAGGATCAATGATCGATATGTAAAACTCTTAAAACATCACATAATCAATTTAATTTGCTTTTACTGCTGACGTATACATGTATATATAGGTTTAAAGCCATTTGCAACAATCTTCCATTGGGATCTTCCCCAAGCTTTAGAAGAAGAATTTGGTGGTTTGTTAAGCCATCAGATTGTGTAAGTGACAAATTCTATCATGAGTATAAAATTCATTATTTGATAAAATAAATAGTAACATAACATATATGTTTTGAAATGTGTATATACAGCAATTATTTTAGGGACTATGCAGACCTTTGTTTTAGGGAATTTGGTGACAGAGTAAAGCATTGGATTACGTTGAATGAGCCATATACCGTTAGTAACATGGGTTATGCAATCGGGACATTCGCACCGGGACGATGCTCTAACTGGCAACAACTAAACTGCACCGGCGGAGATTCAGCACGTGAACCATATTTGGTAACACACCACCTCCTCCTTTCTCATGCAGCTGCTGTCCAAGTGTACAGGAGTAAATATCAGGTCCGATTATTATCGTTAATATTGGGCCCTAATTGAGAATTCTATATTAGTCAGTCGTATAAAGTAGCAATACAAAATGGAATTAATACTGTTTTTTTTACTTCACAAAGATTGTACCATATATTTTTGGCTCTAAATCGACCAAACACTAATGTTGTTGTGCAGGCATCTCAAAAAGGCGTGATAGGGATAACACTAGTGTCACATTGGTTTAAGCCGATATCTGAGGCACCGCACCATAGAAATGCAGCAACACGGTCTTTGGATTTTATGTTTGGATGGCAAGTATTTATGAATATAAAATTTACTAGCTAGTATAACTTGTATGATGCTCTGTTAATGGTTGGCACTTCCATGTTTTTGTAGGTTCATGGAGCCAATTACAAGCGGCCATTATCCGCACAGCATGCGACTTCTTGTTGGACGTCGATTACCAAAATTCAACGAAGAAGACTCCAAGTTGCTAGCTGGGTCATTTGATTTTCTTGGACTAAATTATTATACTACTTACTATGCAAGCTATGCAGGTCACAACAATTCTGTAAAGGCAAGCTATGTAACAGATCCTCGCGTTAATCAATCACGTGAGTACAAAATGAAAAACTTAATTGCTTGGAGAAATTGTAAGTTTCGTAGAAAAATTAGATTCTGACATTCATATATGGTGTGGCAGCGGAGCTTAACGGGGTCCTCATTGGTCCACAGGTACACATCAGATCAAGTGTTATATAGCTAATTAAGCCATTAGTATAGTATGGTTGATTAAATATTGTTTTCCACATGCAAATCTGACTTCTAAAAATCTCACGTATCTTCCAATGGTGTTTTAGGCTGGCTCAGACTGGTTATATGTCTATCCAAAAGGAATTCACGATCTTTTAGTGTACGTAAAAGAAAAGTATAATGATCCAATCATTTACATTACTGAGAATGGTAATTTTTCAGCCTTATTTAATTGCACCATCAATGTTTCAACATATATTTATAGACTGCAGAAAAACACATTATATTGTAGGCGTTGATGAGTTGGATGATCCCAATCTATCACTTGTGGAAGCTCTTAATGATACCGATAGAATCGACTACTTTCATCGCCACATTTGTTATGTTCAAGCAGCAATAAAGTAAGTGTTTATTAACAAATTATTTAATTAAGACTATGTTTGGGATATTGAATTTGAATCCTTACATTGACATTAATTAACGAATTTGAAATATATATATTTTTTTTTCGTTTTGTATGTGTAGGGATGGTGTCAAAGTGAAGGGATTCTTTGCATGGTCATTGCTAGACAATTTTGAATGGGCTTCTGGATACACTGTTCGATTCGGTCTCAACTATGTGGATTTCAAAGATGGACTAAAAAGGTATGAAAAACGCTCAGCGCAGTGGTTCAAAAATTTGCTCAAGAAGTGAAGAAATCAAGCTATAGTTATTGTTGGTCTTGGTTCCATCTTTGTATTTCCTTCAATAATGCGAATGCACCTCCGTACAATAATGTAAAAGGGATGTCAATTTTGAATCCCTTGGTTCCATCTATGTATTTCCTTTAATAATGCGAATGCGCCTCCGAAATATTCAGCAATAAAAAGCACGTGAATTGGTTACTTTTTTCCCAAGGCATCTCTTTTATCTTTAATATTTTGGATTGAACCAAAATCTCAAAATTTTGAGATGGCCTCTCTCTCTCTCTCCCCCCTTCTTTTTTAAGCATTAATTTGAATCATATCTGACAACATAGCATCGGACTACTTCTGACTCTTTCGTGAACCAAAACACTTATAAACATGTCAACTCTTTTTGAAAAGGCCAAGTTTAGCGGAATGATACATTTTTAGGTGCATGGCTCTACGTACAAACCTAGTTTTTTTAAATAATATTTCATCAAATATATTTTGCAATTGTATATACGTTCCTCATGCTCCTCATGGCATGTTATCTTCATACATCTAGTTTCCACAAACCAATGCTTAATTATTATTATTATTTGTATGATAATATATATAATTTCTAATCTTGTTAGTTAGTCGAAAGGATTAGGAGAAAACAGCAAGAGAAAAAACAAATTCAGACATTAAATGCTTCTATTAAATTTTGTATGAATGAAGAACGAGGATAATTAATAATAATTTTCAGAACATGGAGAATTGACGACAGTTGTGTCATGTATAATACTGCCGCGGATTATACGACGGTGCTTCTGCATATATATCTGTATATATTAAATTTTTGTAATGTTCACATATGGCGCGATGTCTGGAAAATAGTTTTTTTATTAGTTGGAATACGAGGAAAATAGTTTTTTTTTTTTTATAGTTGGAATGACACTTCTTTGTTTATATTGTTTGATACTGGAAACATGTCCCTTTAATCGTGCTGAGTAATTTTAGAATTTTTTTTTTTTCCATTGCTGCTGATTAATTTAGATTATTTCAATTCCCTCCCAGTCCTTATCTGAAAAAGAATCATTCTCGAGAAAGAGATTTATATTTAATATACTATAATTAACTCTTCTAATTTATCATTTAAAAAAATTTCACATGAGATGCAAGCTATACTTGAATTCTCTCCAAGCCACTCCCTAAAAGATAATATATCAATTTATTTTGCGTACCATCTGATTTAGCTACACAAGTGAATACTATAATCAACTGCTGAAGAATGTAAACTCCTACATCAAGAACTTGGAAAAATAAAATACAAATATAATAACTGGTTCTACTATACTAATAACATCGAGACGTTTCATATAAAACCTCACACATGCCGAACTATACATGTGATTAAGTTGAGGACATTATAGATGTTGATAGTAGTGAGTTATTGGTTCTTCTTTGTCTTTACAAGGTACCAATGCGGGATGATTTACTGGACCCAATTAAACCCAAGAATCCAAGATCTTTTGTATAACATAACACCTTCATACAGGCTACAGCCAATGCTTAATATGTAAATATACAGAATTTCTTAACTTGTTAGCTAGATACGCATTTCTATATAGCATAGCAGTGATTCAATTCAATATATTAGCTAGATAACAAAAGGACTCGTGTGAAAAATTTCACATCGAGGATACTGCTGATTAAACAAGTCTAAATAGCTAGCGTATAAGTTTAGCTCAAAGTTATGGCTTCCATAATAAACAGTAATAAATAAATATGCATGATAAGCATGGAGTTTTGACTTTTTGTTTGCAACTCCAGAGACAATTCTGATAGCCATTTTCTTTTCTTTGAAAAATGAAGGAGCTCACGACTGCTTCAAATGAAGATGAGATCAAATACTTTATTGCGTCACAAACTAATGGACCTTCACATATTCTAAGCCCCTTTTCCCGTTGTTGATGATAACAAAGTTTTGTCCCTCCTCATTGGCCCCATTCTGGTTCGATGGCTGTGTTTCAACAAAATAACATCTCATACGATCTTACTAAAAGAAAATTATCTTTAGCAATTTGCTTAGATGACAAACGTTTTAGCCTTTTATTTTAAGAAAGAGAATTCATTCATAGAACCAAAGGCATACAAAGAGCGACACGATACAGTGTCCTCGTTAAAACCTTCTTAGGACAACCTCATGGGACAAACCCTAGGAGAGTAAAGAATACCACACATGTCATGGACTAATAAGAGAGTCTGATTCAGGTCACTTATTTAGCTTTAAATGACCATTTTATCGTACATCTAACAAAATAAAAATATATTGCAGAGGCATCTTATCACGAATCTTAATAATCAATATTACTTGTTTATCACGAGGCTTAATAACCATCACATAAGAATTTCTTAGATTTGGAAGGACCCGATCAGCACACCCTTTTGAATTCTAGTTGTGTTTACAAATGCATTATTGAATAGTTTATTATATATTCCCGGGTGCAGTACGCATAGCTTCCTCTATATAAAGGACAAGCAATATGCAAGGAAGAGCCAACTTATCCAGATAGATCACCAAAAGCCCCTTAATTAGTTATGGCAATGCAATTAGGGTCTTTGCTCTTCGGTCTAGTGCTAGTAATTGGCTTTTCATTGCAAAGTAGCGAAGCTGCTACAGATCCAGTTGTTTGTGACACTATCAACAGGACCAATTTCGAAACAGGGTTCATATTCGGCGCGGCTTCAGCATCTTACCAGGTCAGTTTCTTAAAGAGCTTAATTACCATTTACTTCGCGGTTTGTATTAATTTTCTTCCAATGCCAGAACAATTAGCATCCATGCATGTATATCTTGACATCTTTACTGTACGTACTCTTACGTATATTTGTGTGTACGTTTCAGTATGAAGGTGCTGTCCAAGAAGATGGTAGAGGACCAAGCATATGGGATAACTACACCCAAGAATATCCAGGTATGTCTCTCTCATCAAACAATCCATTAGAGTTAAAATATGAAAATTGAACTAACTCAATCTGCAGGCGTCATTCTTTTTTCTGTTTGCTTTCTCCAAATCGCATGCCTTCTGCTTTCGTATGAGGCTTTGGGGCATCCAAATCATTAAGACCGAAACACTGTGGATATATATATATATATATATATATAGCTATCTAGCTAGCTAGGTTCAGAATTTAGATGAAGGAAACACAACATGATACAAAATTCCATAAACCGGGTTCGGCCGGGATGCTTAACCCCTTCCTGATGAACACCAATGGGACACCAGATGCCTTAATGATTTGGATGCACGGATTACAAGTATATGGAAAGTTCTAATGAGTAAATCTCGAAGGAAACCAATTTTAATTCTTATATTATTTTTCTCTCGTATCGTAATATTACTTCATGTATTTATTATAATAATAATTTACCATGGACAAGCCACACATAGCAAGCTTTTAATATAGAGGTGATGCCCATAGTGAACAAGTTGGTAGATGCATAATAGAGTGCATGATATGATTTCCCCGTTCTAAATAGTCAAAATTTTATATGGTTAATTGCAGAGAGAATTAAGGATGGGAGCAATGCGGATGTCACAGTTGATCAATATCACCGCTATAAGGTTTCAAAATCACATAATTTGTGAGCCTTAAGAGAACATAGTGAGATCCTCAATTATTATTTTCTTACTCATAGTTATATATCTTGTGTGTTATTATGTATAGGAAGATGTAGGGATCCTGAATGATACGGGATTGGATGCTTATAGGTTCTCTATCTCGTGGTCCAGAGTGTTACCAAGTAAGTTTTTCAGTCCTATGTAACCAACATTATGAAAAGAATTGAACCATCTTCATAGTCAAATTTCAAGGGCTATTTTTTTAACTTTAATTTCTACTGGTAGATCGAGTTGTTTTTTTATTATTGTCTTTTATTTCTAATTATTAGATGGAACACTAAGCGGAGGCGTGAACGAGGCTGGAATTGAATATTACAACAAACTCATCAATGAAACCCTAGACAAAGGTGACTCATCTCACCTTAAAGGATCAATGATTGATATGCCTCGTAAAATATCATTTAATCAATTTAAGCTTTTATCGATTGTGTATGAATATACACATATATAGGTCTAAAGCCATTTGTGACCATCTTTCATTGGGATCTTCCACAAGCTTTGGAAGAAGCATACGGTGGTTTCTTGAGCCATCGAATTGTGTAAGTGACAAATTCTATAATCAATATATTATTCATTATTTAATCAAATAAATATTACCATAACGTATACATTTGGAAATGTGTATATACAGCGAGCATTTTAGGGATTATGCAAACCTTTGTTTTGAGAGATTTGGTGATCGAGTAAAGTATTGGATCACATTGAATGAGCCATATGCCTATAGTAACATGGGTTATGCAATCGGGACCTTCGCACCGGGACGATGCTCTGATTGGCAGCAATTAAACTGCACTGGAGGAAATTCCGCTACTGAAACCATATTTAGTGACACACAACCTCCTCCTTGCTCATGCAAATGCTGTAGACTTGTACAGGACTACATATCAGGTCCGGTTAATTATTACCTTTTGGTTAGAATATTGGGTACTGAGGAAATTAATACTTTGTATATCGAGATATACAAAGATTGTACCTTATATTTTTGGCTCTAAATCATCTAAAAGCTAATGTTCCCATGTAGGCATTTCAACGTGGCGTGATAGGGATAACACTAGTGTCACATTGGTTTGTGCCAACTTCTAATGCAAAGCGCCATACAAATGCGCAATCACGAGCTTTGGATTTTATGTTTGGATGGCAAGTATATTAATATTAATTTATATACCAACTCAAGTATTTAAATGCTTATTTATGAATATAAAATTTACTAGCTAGTATAACTTGTGTAATAGTTTGTTAATGGTTGGCACTTCCATGTTTTTGTAGGTTCATGGACCCAATTACAAGTGGCCACTATCCGCACAGCATGCAAGTTCTTGTTGGTTCTCGATTACCAAGATTCACGAAAAACCAATCCGAGTTGCTAGCTGGGTCATTTGATTTTCTTGGACTAAATTATTATACTACTTACTACGCAAGCTATGCAGGTCACAACAATTCTGTAAACGCGAGCTACCTAACAGATGCTCGCGTTACTCAATCACGTGAGTACAAATTGTAAAACGTAATTACTTGGAACAATTTAAGTTTCTTAAAAAAATAGATTATGATATTCATATATATTTGTTGTGGCAGCGGAGCTTAATGGGGTTCCAATTGGTCCACAGGTACGTATCAAATTAATTGTTTTAGGTAGCATAATATAGAAATTAAGATTTTTCACATGCAAATGTAACTCCTAAAAATCTTACTTATCTTCAAATGGGGCTGCAGGCTGGTTCAGACTGGTTATATATTTATCCGGAAGGAATTTACGATCTTTTACTCTACATAAAGAATAAGTATGATAGTCCAATCATTTACATTACGGAGAATGGTAATTATTTTTTAGCCTTTATTTATTACATCATCAATGTTTCAAAACACATCTTAAGACTACTTAAAGCACATTATATTGTAGGCGTTGATGAGTTGAATGATCCCACACTATCACTTGAGCAATCCCTTAATGATACTGTTAGACTTGACTACCACCATGACCACCTCTGTTATGTTCAAGCAGCAATCAAGTAAGTTTTTTTATTAAAAAGTTATTTAATGAAGACTATGTTTGGGTTATTGAATCCTTCTATTGACATTAACACATTTGGTTTTATTTGTCTTTGGATCTTTGTTTACAGAAACGGTACTAACGTGAAGGCATACTTTGCGTGGTCATTACTAGACAACTTTGAATGGAATTCTGGATTCACTGTTCGATTCGGTCTCTATTTGTTGATTTCAAGGATGGACTAAAAAGGTACCCGAAAAAGTCGGCACTGTGGTTCAAAGGTTGGCTCCAGAAGTGAAGAAATCCGATTAGAGTTATTGTTGGTCTTGGTTCTATATTTGTATTTCCTTCAATAATGCAGATGCTGTTGTGGACAATAATGTGAGGGATGTCAAATTTGTTTATGCAAAATTTGAATCCCAAAATTATAATAAATTGTATCCAACATAAGTTCCCTGTATAAGCAGCTTATTTCCGATGAAGCAAAATCATTCAATAATATTTGGCTTGAAAACTTTGATTTCCTCGCCTTGGTTTTCAATTCTCCTCCTCTCTCTCTCTCTCTCTCTCTCTCTCTCTCTCTCTCTCACTCTCATGAACCACGTTACTCAGCAAAACGTGTGTGTGGACTATACAAGTCTGCCTACCAAGACAAACATGACGACAAATGGATCATTATAGTAAATAAAAATTAACATACAACAAATAATTAAATACGTTTTAATTTGTTTGTCCATCTCAAAACGAAAAAAGATTCTATTTGTCGGTATATAGCATGTCAACTTCAAACGGACATGTACAGGTCTTATTATATATATATATATATATATTATTTATTCAACAGCCGCGAATTCAGATTTTATAAACATTTTCTCAGTGCAACTGAGGTCAGGAAAATTCAAAGATTATTTGTCCCATTATATATTTTATTAACTCGTAACTGGAAAATTAAGAACAACTAGACACCCAAGTTACTCTTAAAATTATAAAAATTGAATTGATTTGTTTTGACTGTGTGTTTACGCTTAGGTGGTGTTTGGATCACAGAGAGGATTCATGTTAAAATCAATTTTCATTTCTCTTTCTCATATTCGTAATGCAAGGAAAGTAATTGAAAACTATCATTTTATTTCATTTCCCATTAATTTATGTAGGAATTAGAAACAAAAAAAATTATTTTTAACTATCCATAGCATTTTTAATTTGTTTTCCAATTACACCCTAAATTATGCTTGGTTAGATTTCCCATGGCATTTTTAATTGTTAATGGGGGAAGATGGTATTTTAAAAAAAAATTCAATTAATTATTCCGAGGAAAATCAAAAGGAAACCCAAGCTTGATAGTTTTTTTTTTTTTTTTTTTTTTTTTTTTTTTTTTTTTTTTCTTTTTTTTTATTGGCAGGCTAGAGAGTGTGTGCAATCTTGAACTTACCAAGTATGAAGAAAGGAAACGCATTTTTTGCAAATCAAACACCTCCTTAATGATCTTATAATAATCTCTAGCTTCGAGAAAAACTTCACTGGGACAATTTTTAATCTTAATATATCTTACTCTTTTTTTATTGTTTATCATATTTCCTAGCATCATGACGTGGCACGGTTATATTTTAATTTATTTTTTTCTTTTGTTTGAGTTGAGGAAGTTTTTAAATTTGAGGCTATGAAGATTCAAAGTTTCGAATTTTCAAAATCTAGTGGTGATTTATATGAAGAGACACTAGATCTCAAATCCAAACTACGTAGATACAAAGCTTATCTGCTGGCACAAATATCTTTAATTGAGATATTTAGTCATACAGAGAGCTTCCATTAAGGGATCCCTCAAATAAGCTTATTTGAGGGATACCCCTTGTAGGGCCTACTCCGAATTGTATTTCACTAATCCAAACCGTCTATTTTGTAGATACACATTCAAAGATCATCTCTACAAAAAATAATTTGAATCCGATATCATTTGACCATTCAATTGAGTTATTGAAATTTTAGTACTTTCTTGAAGCACCGTGTTCATTGATTTTGTAGGACACAATTGGATGTTGAAACGGTTTCCGATTTGTCTAATTTTTTGTAAGGATGATCTATGAATGAAAACCTAAAAAATAGATGGTTTGGATTATTGGAAAAAAAATTGTAGGGTGCCCTAAAGGGCGTCCCTCAAATAAAATTATTTGAGGGATCCCTCAATAGAAGGGGACTGTTTAGTCATATATCTATTCTTAGCACAAATGATATAAATCAACCTTACATCACTTAATTTCTAAAAACAAACAAAAAAAACCTCAAAAAATGACAGCTTGCCCTAGTGAATTTAATTTTGATTATTAAATTACTTTGACGCCAAATTGAGTGTTTTATGGTTTTTTATGAGGTTTTGGGGTTGGGCTTGTTTTAATAAATCGATAACAGTTTTGTAATTTATAAGAAATTAGAAACCTCTTTGTTATGTTGTAAATGAGTTTTGGGTGTGTTTTTAAAGTCTATTTTTTTATATAATTTGGGCTCTTATATTAAGTATAATAGTGAATCTCCCTTTTTAATTCTCTAACCTTTCAATTTATTTTTAAATGAGTGAATGAAAAAAGAATTTTTTTTTTTTTTTTTTTTTTTTTTTTTTTTCCGTTTGCTGAATAATTGTTCTAGAAGGGTGACCACAGCAAAATTTTCAAAAATTGGTCTGACGCTAGTAATCATATGCTTCCACAACAAATACAAGATAAACATGTAGTGATGAATTTTATTTTTTTGGTCAATCTACAGAAAAATTCTCAAAGCTTTTTTTTTGTTGTTGTTAATTTCTTTGAAAATTCAAGGAGCTCATCAAGACCATTTCAAATGAAGATGAGATCAATTTTATGTCATCCACTCCCTCGCACGTTTTTTTCATTATTACTTGGTAACTGGTAGTTGCAAATGCGAGACACCATGTCATCCACATTCCCAATTACTCGGTCCGAAGGACCAAAGGTCCAATATCGAACATTGTCATTATATGTGTTGTCAATATCAATACTTTCAATGGGGAAAAAAGATCATTGCACCCAAATTAAACACTTTTTGTTTGGAAAACTGTCACTTTCATAATAGACTAGTTGCAAGCATTCTGACTCGGGGAATGCTTAGGAAGGTATAACTGCTCCTTAATGGATCTAGGATCCTTGCCGGATGATGATTTTCAGTTTTTTTAAGTGGCGGGTTTTTGGGTGAACAGCTCTATGTGTTACTCTACTTGGTTGCCTAATCATACTATTTCTATTGCTCTTGGATTTCCCCAACGTATATTCACACACCTTTCACTATAGTTGTTGCTAGCACTGAAGAAATCTATAGTGAAGGATCCCTTAGTGTTTAGGGTGTCACCCAGCTCTCTTATTGATTTTCATGGTTAATTAATTGTTCTGCTTGTATTTGAGAAGCGTTGGTAGATTGTGTGTTCATGACTAGTATTTGACTAGTTATATTTTAGAATAGGTTCATTAAGAGTTTCGTCAATGTCTAATTAGTTTGTTGGAAGAGTTTATTTACGCCTTCCACCTAGGTCCAATTTCATCTAATATTTGATTGAACAAGTCTTATAGCTACCGTGGAAAGCCTATCCGACAATATCTAGCGCCAAAAAGGATAAAATCATACGCCTCCCACAACAAATATAAGATAAACACATGCCTTCCACAACAAATATAAGATAAACACATGCAGTGATGAATTTTATTTATTTTTGGTGAATCTACAGAAAATTCTCAAAGCTTTTTTTTTGTGTGTGGTTAATGTCTTTGAAAATTCAAGGAGCTCAAGACCATTTCAAATCAAGATGAGATCAATTATGTGTGCCTTTTGGTTTTCATGGCCTCACAAATGGACTTTCAGCCCCTCTCGCTCGCACGTTTTTGTATAATTAATTGGTACCCCTAAACTAATTTAATTTTACCCATTTCCCTGCAGTACATGCTAGTTGCAAATGCGAGACACTATGTCATCCACATTCCCAATTGGAGTACTTGAAACCTACTCTACGACATAATTAAAGAAGGAAAATGGTCCCAATATCGAACATTGGCATCACATATATGTGTTGTTTAAAGATGAACACGTCCCATATCAAAAATTAAAGTTTCTCTTTCTCCGGTATAAAATGTTTTCATGATTACATTTCTTTGAGAACCAATATCATGATGAAATAGAGAAGCCACTACAAAAACATTATCTTTCCTGACTAAAGATCTCGCGACAAATAGAATGTGTCGGGACAAGTAGCTTGTCCCGACAAACATTAACCTTTGTATGGAAAGGTTGACTCTTACCCGGCAAAGTGTCATCGGAAAATACCTTCTTACGTGGAGTGGCGTCTAGGTCACACCGTTGTCGCGAAGGGTTGACTCTAGGCCAGCGTTATAAAAACTAATAAAATCATATTATCAACACCAAAATCATCTCAACACAAAATTCAACTCAATATGATGTAATTTTTTGCATGTTATATATTTATTAAGTTAAAATAAACATATCACTAATCAGGCCAGGTTCGGAAATGAGGATAATAATATCATCCTTAGCCAATTCACAATTGAGGATATTTAAAATTCATGAATCCCCGTACCCACCACGATTTTTCCATGTAATCTTCTCCCATTAGCTCGGTAGTGATTTTTGCCATCCGTACTAGCAAAACTTCAACATAAAATTATTACCTCTATATCTCTATATTAAATGATGAAGTATGATTAATCACAAAGGATTAATTGACCATTGTATGTATGGCGTGTCTTCACATTATACTTCATGAATTATTTATTTACTAAAGCTGTCTTATCCGAAGACTAGTCTTATTTTATCAGATGTTGGTTTATCGGATATCGGAAGAATAGTCTTGTTGGACTATTATATGTATTCGTCCATGTCACCTAATTGAAAAGTACCCATTTATTTATAATTGTTTATTGTCCGTTAATTTTTCATCCTCTATATATAAACGCCATGCCAGGCAGAGCCAAACTATCTAAATCACCAAAACTCCCAGTTATGGCAATGCAATTTGGGTCTTTAGTGTTAGGTGTGCTGCTTCTAACTGGCTTTGCATTGACAAGTAGTAAAGCTGCTTTTGTACCAAGTCACTATGACACTGCTTTCCTCAACAGAAGCAGTTTTCCAGCTGGTTTCATATTTGGCACAGCTTCTGCATCTTATCAGGTTAGTGCTTCTGGGTCTTTATTTCAATGTTAAACCAGTTAAGCATCCATGCATGAACACTGACATCATCATTATGTGTGGATTAATTTCAGTATGAAGGTGCTGCAAAAGAAGATGGGAGAGGACCAAGCATATGGGACACCTTCACCCACAAATATCCAGGTGCATGTTTAATCAAATAATAACTAGCTAATTCGTTCTTTCTTTTTTAATTAACGTTTTCTTATGCATCGCTTTCTTTAAAATAAATTAAATATTAAAAAAAAAATTCACGTTTTCTTTTTAAATCTGGTAATGCTTTCCCTCTATTGGTTTCTATTAAACTTCAGTTTATGGATTCAACTGCGGCCTTTTTGCTTTCATAATTAAGTCAACATAACCTTTTCAGAGACTACATATAATTAATTAAATATACGTTTTCCAATGTATAAACAAGCCAAAGTCAGGCCTTACTTCATGGAAATTACGTATTTTTGACTTACAGTTAAGACCTTCATTACGACAGAATGCAATTAAGTATAGTATTAATTTGTTAATTAGTTTCAAGACCTTCATAATACCGGTCTTTCCCGGCTATAATAAAAAATTATAGTAGGGGGAAAAAACTAATTAATAGGTATCAGAGGGGAATATATGTGAATGAAACCAGAAACCAAGTGGAAATTATATTAAAAAATAATAATCGTACCCTCTTTAAAATATTTGTTCTTAAATCTGTTTGTCTTTTCTTTTGTTATTCATTATATTATATAACAAAATTCCCTAAAAATAGTTTTCAGCACCCCAAGTCAAGGTGCACCAATCTTCTAATAATACTTATATATCAAATAAATATTTTTTTTGCTTATAAAAAATTGGAATGTGATTTGTATTATCCTTCATCCAAAATCGTCTAATAATGTCTTTTTATTCCGTTATCATTTTTTAATTAAATGGTATTGTGAAAATGAGTGTTTGTATCATTAAGATATTCTGGCGGGCTCCATTCGTCTTTCAATTTTATTTTAGGGCTTTTCACAAATAGGTTCATTCTAACATGGTATATCATTTTTTAATTAGAAAATGATAAGTTGATTTTTCTCTCCAAATAAACTCTATATGAATTTTTATATAATATATCATGATAAAATGGACTTACTTATAAAAACATATTTATTTTATATGACTAGCTAAAGAGGCAGAATGTATGGAGTTTCATCTCAGTGTGATTTGGTGTGCGAATTGAATCCAGCCACAGTTTTATTAAGTCCACTACACCAAGTCTAGGATCTAAAAAATTTCTTTGACCGATTCTAATACCACTTCTTAGTCGGCTTAGTTAGAATGAAGCCTCTTACTTTTCTTTTTCCCATAACACAAACACAAATATCTATATTTGGCTATCTATAATTAAAACTTTCTGTGGTTATATTTGCAGAAAAAATAAAGGATGGCAGCAATGGAGATGTGGCGAATGATGAATATCACCGCTATAAGGTGTTCAAAGAACACACGAACTTTATCTTCTAGACCTGAGGGAGACTAAATTTTTGGGACTTAAGAAAACACATGACATTGAAAATATGAGATCCATAACTTTTAACTTCTTTCTTAAAATATCTTGTGTTATTATATATAGGAAGATGTGGGGATTATGAAGAATATGGGATTGGATGCTTATAGGTTCTCTATCTCATGGTCCAGAGTGTTACCAAGTAAGCTGATTCATATTTGGTTGCAAATTTGGGACCAATTCTCAAATTTTGTTGCTTTCTACAATACACTAGTCTCCTTATGTTTTGGTTGAAGTAATGTGGCTCTATTGTGAAACCAATAAATAATTTAACCTGTTTTACTTCAATTTCTATTGTAGACAAGTTTTCCTTATTTGCTTGTTTTGTTCTAATTATTAGATGGAAAACTAACTGGGGGCGTTAACAAAGAAGGAATCAAATACTACAACAATCTCATCAATGAACTCCTACGCAATGGTAATACAACTGCCCAATCTCGTATATCATCTCACCCTAATTACAGAAAATATAATAAGACTTATGTGCACTCATAAGACACATTTGATCAAAACCTTAATTTGCTTTTATATTGATCATGTATGTATAGGTTTAAAGCCATTTATAACACTCTTTCACTGGGATCTTCCCCAAGTTTTAGAAGACGAATATGGTGGTTTCTTAAGCCCTCATATTATGTAAGTGAACGACCATCAAGTTCAATGTACACTACTATGATGTATGAAACTCAAATCCACATGCAATATTGATTTTTAATTTTTCCTACAGCAATCATTTTCAAGACTATGCAGAACTTTGTTATAAGGAATTTGGAGATCGGGTAAAGCATTGGATCACATTAAATGAGCCATGGACCTATAGTAATGGTGGTTATGCAGGAGAGGGTTTGGCACCAGGACGATGTTCTGATTGGCAGAACTTAAACTGCACTGGCGGAGATTCGGCTACTGAACCATATTTGGTGGCACACCACTCCTTACTTTCTCATGCAGCTGCTGTAAAAGTGTACAAAGATAAATATCAGGTCCTCTTTAACTCATATTTATTTATTTTTATTTTTTTGTGACAAGATTCAGTCCTAATTGAGCTAAACGTGTTTAATTCAATATTTACAATGGGATAAACAAATATAGTACCTTTTTCGTGGTCTAATCAACCAAATCAATGTTAAAAATGTGCAGGCATCTCAAAAAGGCGTGATAGGGATAACACTAGTGTCACATTGGTTTGTGCCCGTTTCTAAGGCAAAGCACAATAAAAATGCTGCATTACGATCTTTGGATTTTATGTTTGGATGGCAAGTATATAAACTCAATTACTGAATATAACACTTTTTGGCTAAAAATACTTTAAGGAATCTGATGTTCGTGTTTGGAATTTCCATCTCTTAATTTCTAGGTTTATGGAGCCATTGACAAGTGGTGACTATCCTCACAGCATGCGATCTCTTGTTGGAAACAGATTACCAAAGTTTACAAAAGAACAATCCACGGCGGTAATGGGGTCATTTGATTTTCTTGGATTAAATTACTACACTGCTTACTATGCAACCTATGCACCCCAACATAATTCTGTAAACGCAAGCTACTTGACAGATGCTCGTGCTAATAAATCATGTGAGTACAAATTGAAAAATTAAACATTTTGAAGCAATGTAAGTTTCTTATATTGATTAGATTTTGATATTCATATATATTGTGACAGCTGAGCGTAACGGAGTCCCAATTGGTCCAAAGGTACTTCTCAAATTAATAGCTTAAGCTACTAGCATTTGGATGATTAATTGTTTTCCACATAAAAATTTAACTCATGAAAATCTCAATTATCTTCAAATTGAGTTGCAGGCTGCTTCAGACTGGCTACATGTTTATCCAAGAGGAATTCAAGATCTTTTACTATATACAAAGAAAAAGTATGATGATCCACTAATTTACATTACTGAGAATGGTAATTATTTTTAAGCCTTCAGTAATTTCTTCATCCATGTTTCACATGTATAGTTGTAAAAAACAATTAAATGCTCTAAAGTGTACATGTAAAACTAAATGATACCACATTTCACCTTGTAGGCATTGATGAGTATAATGATCCCAAATTATCACTTGAGGAAGCCCTTAATGATACCCAGAGAGTGGACTACTACTACAATCACCTCTCATACCTTCAAAGAGCAATCAAGTAAGTTCTTATTAACAAATAATGTGTTAGTTATATGTTCTACCCTTCTTACATTTAAGTTAATTAATCATTACATTGAATTAAGTGCATTTGAAATTTCCTCTCCTTTTGTGTAGGGATGGTGTCAATGTGAAGGGATATTTTGCATGGTCATTACTAGACAACTTTGAGTGGAGTTCTGGATACACTGTTCGATTTGGTATCAACTATGTGGATTACAATGATGGACAGAAAAGATACCCGAAAGTTTCAGCACATTGGTTCAAAAGTTTCCTAAAAAAATATTGAACAAATCAAATTATAGTTATTGTACGTAATAGATGATAACTCATTCCATATTTGTATTACTTCAATAATGTGAATGTTATATGTGCACATCAACAAAAATAAATTCCAGTTGTAAGATATAACACATTAGTTGTCTATGGGTTGCACCCAGATCTCTCCTTATGAATGTATACATAACCAATTGGATGAACTTATATGGATGCAAATATTTAGATTCGGACTTTTGTTCCACATGTCTTTTTTGGTCAATTGCCTCACATTAGAGATGGAAGTCTAGCTAACATAAAGAGTTTAAAATATCTTGCACCTCTTCATTCACTGCCAATTAATAATTTTGGGTTGGATGCTCTCATTCTAACATGGTATTAGATACAAGTTATCCATATGGTAAGTGCAACGATCCCATAAGAATTGTCCACGCATTAGGGGCAAAGAATGCACACATTAAAGGGCATGTTAAGAGTATCTCACATTGCATATGGAAATTTAACATAAAGAACTTAAAATATTTTGGTTCTTTTCACATTACTAATTAGTTTTGGGTTGAATACTCACGTTCTAACATGGTAAAAGAATCAGGTTATCCACATGGCGGATATAACGATAAAGCCTACTCCAAAGTCACCAAATAAGAATAGTAACCTGTTAGAAGCAATGGACGTCTAACGTAAGCAAGGTGTTGAGTCAACTCTATAAAGGGATGGCTATTAATTTGAAACAATATAATTGTTGCATGGGGCGTACATATATATCTTGACTTCTTAGGTTACCTGACATTTATTTATATAAGTATAAAAAGACATTGCTTATATAAGTCTCATGTCGAAAGACTAGTATAAAATTGGTAATTAGGTGAAGGGGGTAAATTAAAACCCCAATACACAGATGTAAGACAACAATGATTAATTGTTCCTAGTAATAATATGACTAGCTGACTAGTCAAAGACCTATGAATAGACACCAGATACACAATCAAATCTCCTTATCAAACAAATTTGACAATGACAATGATCAAATGAACTTAGCAAAAATATGACTAGTCAACAACTAGTCATAAACCTAATAACAAGCAAAATACACATCCATTCATCAATCAATTCTCAAGACCCTGCAAACCTAGAAGATGACTAAGTGACAACCTAAGCACTCAGAAGGACTCGTCAATCTAGGCATCCTCTGTGCTAGCAATAACCAAGGTGCACAGTGTGTGAACAGTCATTGATAAATCAAAAGTATATCAAACAAAGTATGACTAGTCAAACATACACAACCAAACACCAGAAAATTGTTCACTCAAAGACCCACCACTGAAAAAACTGGGAGTCATCTTCCGACTAGGGAATCCACTAAGTCAATAAGATTCTTACATAAAAAAATCACGAGCTCAAACAATCATAGGTCTATTTAGGAAATAAACACTACCTCAATGTGCAACCTTCTTCTCCAAACTTAGTTGAGCTAATAGCTTGTTCTTCATGGAAATGGTAGCTAGTCCATCAATTTCTTTACCCCATGGCACCGCAACGCATCTCTAGATCGAACAAAACCATGAAATATAGATTCTGAAATGGAAATGGGTCAATTCCTTCAAGAAACCATCCTCCTAAAGAAATCAACCAAGAATCTGATCTAAACTAAAGAAGATGACTTATCATAATGAACCTAGATGCATACTGAAGAAGATGAATAGTCATAACTAAATCCAGATGAAGATTATAAAAAAAACACAATAGATTTCAAAGAATAATTTTCAAAATCTCATAATGAAAATTGAAACCTCACCAAGTAGAGAATACAAAGTAGAAGTTTTACTCTAAAAAATTCTGAATGGGTGAATTTGGTTTCAAAGATAGAATCAGATTTGAAAACCTCATTTCAAAAACCATAACCAATCTCAAACAAACTAAAGAGAAAACCAAGTTTTTCAAAATTGTGTAAATGAAAAAGATGAGAGACTAAAACTTTGATGTGCAAAGCTATGGTCAAATATTTTGAAAAAGAAGTAGCTTTCAAAATGAAATCTTGAAAACTCATTTCTATGCCATGAACACTCTCATACAAACCAAAGAGAAAACCAAGTTTTCCAAAATTGTGAAAATGAAAGTGATGAGATGAAAACTTTGTATCACTAAGCAAAAGTTTGGGAAATTAAATTTCAATGAAAGCCCCAAAATGAATTCAAGAAACCATGAACTCTTCTCCCAAAAGGCAAAACCAAATTTACGCACACTCTCTCACTAGAACTCTCTCTCTCTCTCTCTAAATACCTATATGAAAAATGTAAAATGAGAGAGTTGGTGAGTCCAGACCAATCCCAGCCTTTTTGGTAAAATTAGGCAGTCAAACGGACACTTGGCAGCCAAGGATTTGACTTATAATCGTGCCTTTATTAAAAATCTCGTGCTGGAAATATTTGACCTATATGACTAGTCATCTATACAAAGTATTGTGATGCAAATGCTGATTTTCCTAATGATGCCCATTATAAATGAGTGCACAAATTATCTTGGTTTTGTAGCCTCATAAACTCTTCAATGTACTTCAACTTTTTAGCAAATACCCAAGTCCTAATTTCTAAATATGAGCTAAAAGGAATTACATACATGACAACTTATGATGACTAGATATGCATATTTGGCTAATCATACAGGATAACACTATAATGCATGCAATGCAATGTATGATATTTTGAACAATTTGACCTAAAAAAATAAAAATTCTATAAATATAATTTTATTTGAGAAATAAGTGGGTATTTATAGAGTTTGGAGTGAGTTTTGGAGTTGGATATGACTTAGATTAATTTAAAATATTATTTTAATCGATGGATTTAAATTTCAGCTGTTGGATCTTTCTTTTTTTTTAATCATTAAAATAGCTTCGATTTAATATGGATCGTTGATTTGGATTACTATTGGAATTTTAAAAAGAAAAAAAGAAACTACTGCAAACAAGTGCGCGACTCCTGGCGTGACATATTCTACAACACAGCAGTGCGGGCCCCATTCTTTCCTCCTTGCACATGGGCTACATCATGGTTGTGTGGGTTCCACACAAAAAAATTCAGGCAATAGCTGGACTAGTATTTGGTCCCAAGTTTGGGTTTTCTCATATTTTGGCGTCTTACTTTTATTGGGTTGAGAGAGATATTGGGCTATAATTTGAATTTTTTTGGGATTGGCCTCATGGGTTAGAGATAGCCTTAGGGCTGTAGTGGACTCTAGCCCAGTTCTATTTTTTAGAGTAGCCTTAATTTGTAAGCCAAATTTAGATAAATCAAATTTTAGCCCAAAGTTTCTCTCTTTATCTCTCTCCGTTTTCTCTTTCCTTTTTCTTATTTTCTCTCTCTCTCTTTCTTCTTTAATCCCTTTGCCCCTTTTCTTCTTTCTTTTCTCTCTTCTTTTTCTTTCTTCTCTATCTTTTCTTGTTCTTCTTCTTTCTCTCCGCCATTTTTCTTTTCTCTTGCTTTCCTTTTGTCTTCTCTATTTGTTTCTCTTTTGTTTTATTAAGTCTCTATTTCTCCCTTCTTCTTTTTCCATGTATTTCTCTATTTAGGCATTGATGGTGGTTTTATGTTGTGAAGATATTATGAGCCAATGTTGAATAGGTGGTTTGACCAGCTTGAGCTTGTGGGTGTTTTGGTGGACTCGACTATAGTCCGAATCACATAGGTTTGTAAAAAAAAAAAAATTAGCCCACCCTTGTGAAAAAATCCTAGATCCGCCATCAAATAGGTGTCCATTGTGAGAGCAAACTAGAGTCATTGAGTGGGGAAACTCGAAACAAATAAACCGCTACTAAATCCATATTTGGATATACTGATGTAATTATATATGTGCATATGTGTACGTTAACACATTTATACTAGTATGAAGTGCTTAGAATCAATATTTCCCATTGATTTTTAATTTTCCAAATATATCTATGTATATGTAGGAATCACTTTCAGGATTTGCAAAACTTCGTTACAAGGAATTTGATGATCGAGTAAAACATTGGATCACGTTGAATCAGCCATGGACCTTTAGCCGTGGTGGTAAAGCATTGTTGCTAATGTTTAATTTGCTTTTATAAATTAGATGGTTTTAGTGGTTCCTTGATTAATCAAGCTATGACATTAATTTAACATTTTAGCTTCATCAAATGAATATTTTTTAACGATCTTTTAAATTTAATTTTTCTTCTTAGGAACATTTGAGATGCTTTAACCGTTGCATGCACAATGTACATGTGTCTTGAGACTCCTGACTTTTGAGCTTAGCTGTGATGTGTCCTTCCTCCACTATAAACCCCGTGACAGGCAAAGCCAAGCTATCTAGATCACCAAAACCTCAAGTTATGGCACTCCAATTAGGATATTGGCTCTTAGGAAATTATTTTCTGCAACTAATTGGCTTTGCATTGGCAAATATCCAAGCCACCATTCCAGTTACACCCAGTCAATATGACACTGCTTTTCTCAACAGAAGCAGTTTTCCAGCTGGGTTCATATTTGGCTCAGCTTCATCTTCTTACCAGGTGAGTCTTTTCTCTTTTGGGGGCTTAATTACCCTTTAATTTTTGTTTTAATTACTTAATTAGTTTCTTCTTGCCAGAATGAACATTGGCATCTTCATTCTGTACTCTTTTATGTGTGTGTGTAAATTGTAGTATGAAGGGGCTGCAGGAGGAGGTGGTAAAGGACCAAGCATATGGGATACCTACACCCACAAACATCCAGGTGTGTCTAGGCTTTGTTTTTACCCTTACCGTCACAAACATCCAGATCTACTCTTAATTTCCCTCTCAAATTCAGTTTTTACCCATACCGTCACTAAATTTGATTTCTTATGTTAGATTTGACTTTTTTCGACGGTAAAAGTTGTTGCTAATATCTCACAAATGGACTTCTTCTATTTCATAAACACTGCTTTGCGGGCTCCACCACAAGCCCAGGCTTGAGCTTGGGCCAAAATAGCTCCCCAGCGAAGCTATGGACCCTCTTGCTCAGGGACGACCTTATTTTTCATACAGAGCAGAGCATTGCTAGGAGAAGAAAATTGATTAATCAAGTGATATTAAACAATGGACCAAGTTTTGTTATTTTATTTTTATAACGGTTAATTGCAGAAAGGATCCAAGATGGCAGCAACGGAGATGTGGCTATTGATGAATATCACCACTATAAGGTTTAAATTTTGATCACATAATTCTCTTTGTTTTTTCTTAGAAAAGAAACTAGACAAACACATTTGCCTTCTTTGCTTCGAGCCCAGTAAGAGAAGAGAACATAGCTATAGGAAATTGAAAATGAGATCCTTTTAAGGTTCTTTTTTATAATTATATATCTTTTGTGTTATTGTAGGAAGATGTGGAGATTATGAAGAACATGGGGTTGGATGCTTATAGATTCTCTATCTCATGGCCAAGATTGTTACCGAGTGAGTTCATCAATGTCTCTTTGTTGAAATAATAATTCATGTGGCCCTCCTTTTATCGTTGTATATAACCAACTAAGAAAGTGTTGCAAGCTTAGCTGTGTTATCAGTTAAAGTCGTTATCTGAAAAAATTGAACCAAGAGAAGAAATAGTTTACCATTGGCCTTTTCTTTCCTTAGCACTTATTATTGATTGAGGTATTTGTGTATTTGCTTGTTTTGTTCTTAATTATTAGATGGAAAGCTAAGCGGGGGCGTGAACGAGGAAGGAATCAACTACTACAACAGTTTCATCAACGAACTCCTACACAATGGTGAAGCAGCTTTCTATATATAATCACATAAACCTCAATATCAATCCCACCTGAAACATCACTTAGTCAACTCTTTTCTATTACTCATGCAGGTCTAAAGCCATTTGTAACCCTCTTCCACTGGGATCTTCCCCAAGCCTTAGAAGACGAATACGGTGGTTTCTTAAGCCCTCATATTATGTACGTGAACAAATTAAGATATACCATTTCAAATATGTTCGAAACAAATATTTGGCATTGGATTTTAATTTTTACAGCCATCATTCTATATGTGTGTGTGTGTGTGTGTGTGTGTGTGTGTGTAGAAATCACTTTCGAGACTATGCAGAGCTTTGCTACAAGGAATTTGGTGATCGGGTAAAATACTGGATCACATTGAATGAGCCATGGAGCTATAGTGTTGGTGGTTATGCAAAAGGGGAGTTCGCACCCGGACGATGTTCTGATTGGCAGAAGCTAAATTGTAATGGTGGGGATTCAAGTACAGAACCATATGTGGTGGCACACAACCAGCTCCTCGCACATGCAACTGCTGTAGAATTGTACAAGAAGAAATATCAGGTCTTTTTTTTTTAGTGGTGGGCTAGAATATTAGGTCCTAATTGATCGAGAACTATATGTGAATAATGGAGTATTCTATCTGACAGTGTTATGTTCAAAATTAATCTGCAGGCATCTCAAAAGGGTCTGATAGGGATAACGCTATTGTCACATTGGTTTGTGCCGATTTCTGAAGCCAAGCACCATAAAAGGCTGCATTACGAGCCTTGGATTTTATGTTTGGATGGTCAGTACCTAATATAAATTTGTAACTCATTTACAATACTTACTAGCATAATCTAATATTTGTTTCCAGAATATGTATGTTAATAGAATATTAATTTAAATATATTGAACAAATAAAAATATGCTTTATGAATGTTTAAGTTTGGAAGCAACTTTTGTTTTGGCTTTATAATAAGCCAACTTTCCGGCAATATAACACGCCAAATTTTCCAACAAGAAAATATCCTATTTAGCATTAAGTTTGTGATGGGAATTTCCACATTTTTGTAGGTTTGCAGAGCCAATAACAAGTGGTGACTATCCGCACAGTATGCGGTCTCTTGTTGGAAATCGTCTACCAAACTTCACGAAAGCAGAATCTAAATTGCTAAATGGGTCATTTGATTTTCTTGGATTAAATTACTATACTACTTATTATGCAGCCTATGAAAGCCAACAAAATTCTGTAAATGCAAGCTACTTGACAGATGCTCGTGCTAATTTTTCATGTACGTAGTACAAATTCAAAGCTTGTTGATTTCCAATTTTTAAGTTTCTTATAACAATTAGATTTTGACCATATATATTGTGGCAGTTGAGCTTAATGGGGTCTCTATTGGTCCAAAGGTACACATATCAAATTAGCTTAGCTGTTAGCATTAGTGGTATTATTAATTGTTTTTCACAGACAAACGTAACCTCTACAAATCTCTCAATTTCTATGGTATTACAGGCTGCTTCAGATTGGCTATATGTTTATCCAAGAGGAATTGAAGATCTTTTACTCTACACAAAGAGAAAGTATAATGATCCAATCATTTACATTACGGAGAATGGTAATTATTTAGTTAGTTGCATCATCAAGTTTTCACATGTAGTGTAGTTATTGCTATTAAGTATACATTTAAAATGAACTATCTATTGAGCTAGTGACATTTCTGTTCACTTTGTAATAATTAGAGGAGGTAGCCTCTCTTTTTAAAAAATGAACAAGCTTAAAACTAAAAGACTAACATGTTACATATTTGTTGTAGGGATTGATGAGTTCAGCCATCCAAAATTGTCACTTGAGGAAGCCCTTAATGATAGCCAGAGAATTGACTACTACTATCTCCACCTCTATTACGTTCGACGAGCCATCAAGTAAGTGCTTAATTGTTCAACAAAGCCTATGTACATATCCCCTGTGTTGTATATGTGTGTGTATATATTTATTTATTTATAAATTCACATATGACATATAGATGTATGTGCGTATATATGAATGTAACATATATATATATATATATATATATTAAGGCCAATAGGGTCTAGTTCAGTGAAAAAGGGTCTTGAATTACAAACTTGAGGTCTTAGGTTTGAACCCCCACTGCATCAGATGTGTGTGTGAGAAACTCCCTCTCCTCTAGTTTAGACTATCGCTTGTACTAAAAAAAACATACATATACTACGTACATTCATATACATATATATGCCTAACCTTTTCAGGTTTAGTTAATTCCATCTTTTTGTGCAGGCACGGTGTCCATGTTAAGGGATTCTTTGCATGGTCTCTGTTGGATAATTTTGAATGGTATAGTGGTTACACTCTTCGATTCGGTATGAACTTCGTGGATTACAAAAATGGGTTGAAAAGATACCCAAAACTCTCAGCCCATTGGTTCAAAAAGTTCCTAAGTACTAGGGAAATCGAATTGCAGACGTTGTTTGTGACCAAATAAATAATGTATAATGTGAATGCTATTTGTGTATGAACAAGAATAAAAAGTGGGTTGGGTCCAACCAAATTCCTTTCGACGATGTGAATTCAGATGGGTTCATATTGATCTCAAATTCTGATTGTTCTAACTTCTAATTAGCTATGTTTAATGCGGATTTGATTAGGTTACCAATTTATGAACCCAGACTTTCTCATGTCAGCCATTGTCTGAGAGACTGGGATTGCCTTCTCTTTCTTTTTTTTTGGTCCAAGTGGAATTTCATTAAAACAAGAAGAGCAGCAGAAAAGAACAGAGGACCCAGAGGGGCTAAGAAAGCTAAGAAGAAAAACAAGGCGATCAAAAGCCGAAAACCCTTAACAAGCAGCAAGGCAAGCAAGCTGCAACAAAAGGGATAAATCATAAATCAAAAGAAAAATCAAAATCATGCACCAAGTCCCATACCAAGTTAAATAGGGGACAAGAAACCCCAAGCAGAATTAGGGCTACTGATATTGTCAAAGACAGAGTTGGTCTCTTTTTTCTTTCGGCTGGCCACGTGACATTTTAGTATTATGCTTTTGTTTTAATGATCTTTAATCTTTAAATGATCTTACCCACTTAAACAAAGATTCGACATTGACCTCTTCTTAATCAATTTAAGTAGGAATCTAGTTTCTGTTTCCCCCACAGTTCGAATAAGGTGGTATTTATCTTCAACTTAAATGCTCATTTATCCTCTTATATCCATGCTTTCTCCGCGATATGTACATATATATATATATAAGTAACGACTCCAAAAAGAAAAACAATAACTGCTTAGTCATGGCAGTTAGTCATGGCAGTCAAAAAAGCACTCTGCTCTTAGTCCTCCTACTTGTTACTCTTACTTGTTACTCTTGAGTGTGAAGTGACAAGTAGCAGAGCTTACAATCCAAGGCACCTTCGTCGGGTTTCGTATTTGGGTCAGCTTCGTATGAGTGTTCTGGTCAGATATGCTCGAGCATGGTTTGGATGGTTATGTGTCTGTTGTGTGTGTATGGATTTTAGTATGAAGGTGCTGCAAATGAAGGTGGTAGAGGACCAAGTATATGGGATACATTCACTCACAAATATCCAGGTTTCTTTCTCTTATTTAGACTTTTTCTTTTTTGTGAAACTTAATTTGTTGTTAGATACATGTTTGAATGGAAATAAAATAAAATACTCAGAGAGGATAAAGGACCGCAGCAATGGAGATGTGGCTATTGATCAATATCATCGCTACAAGGTACAACAAATCCCACATTATAAGAAATGAAGAATATATAAGGACAGCAAGTTCTTTCCGATATTCATGATTTCTTCTAATTATACTATTTGGTTATGTATTTGCTACAGGAAGATGTTCAGATTTTGAAGGATACGGGTTTTGATGCTTACAGATTTTCAATCTCATGGTCTAGAGTCTTAGATGAGTATAATTACATCATCTCTTAATCACGGAAATAGTATAGCCGGGCGGCTATACTAAGTTTTTTCAATTTTTTAAAAGAGAAATCGTCTACTGGGTTTCTAGAATTTTTTTCAAATCGCATCGCCGTGCGGCCATACACTGTTTTGGGAATAAGGAAATAGTATAGCCGACCGCCTAGACCCGGTTTTTTTCAAATGAACAGAATTAGTATAGCCGTCCGGCTATACCCGGTTTTTTCAAAAAAATATTATAGCCGCGGGGCTATACATGGGTTTTAATTTTTTTTCAAGAAATCGTATAGGGTTTCTAGAATTTTTATTCAAATCATATAGCCGTGCGGCTATACCCTGTTTTTGGAATTTTTTTCCGAAATCAATAGTATAGCGTATCGGCCATACCCGGTTTTTTCAAAAGAATTAGTATAGCCGTTCGGCTATACTTGGTTTTTCCATTTTTCCCAAAAGGAATTTTTTATAAATAGTATAGCCGATCGGCTACACGTTCGTTGTGGAATTTTTTAAAAACAAACAGTAAAGCCGACCGGCTATAGCGGTTTTTTTCCAAAAGAATTCGTATAGCCGTTTGGCGATACGAGGTTTTTTATTTTTTATTTTAAGAGAAATCGTATAGCCGCTTGGCTATATTGGGTTTCTAGAATTTTTCAAATAGTATAGCCGACCGGCTTTACTCTGTTTTTGGAAATTGTTTTCAAAATAAATAGTATAACCGTCCGGCAATATCCGGTTTTTTCAAAAGAATTAGTATAGCCGCGCGGCTATAACTGGTGTTTCAAAAGAATTAGTATAGCCTTAGATTTATCCTCAAAGAACCACACTTCATACACACATCTTCAACCCTTAGATTTATCCTCATCTAACGGTTCAGAATTCATTCAACATGCACTTAACTTTGCATTAATTACTTTATTGGCAACAACACAGACTTCTAAAACTCCTCTCCCTCTCTCTCTCTCTTCTTTATTTTAGGGTTTAGGGTTTAGGGTTTGAGAGACGAAAAATTGGTTTGTAGCACAATATTTATAAAAATAATTGCTATGAATAATAAAAAAAAATTTATTTTATTTTACTATTTAAAATATAAATAAGGTTAAAGCTACTTGATAAATGTATATACTATTCAATTTCTTAATTGTTATAAGTACAAAATAAATAAATTTGAAGCTACTTAATAAGTAAATAAATATATATATATATATACACACACACCATTCAACGATCCAACCGTCAGACTTGTTTGTATATACTTCAAGATCGTATACCCCAAAAATTGCAAAAAACAAACATTCAGAGACCTAGTAACAGGACAAAAGATTTCAACGGTTATAAATGAAAAATCACAATTTAACGGTTATTTTAACTCCGATTTTGATGATTTTTTACAGCTACACTCCTTGACCCTATATGAATACAATGAACTAATTCGATTGTCAATTTAAAATATTTACACTAGTGGATACCACAAAATCTTATGTTATATTTAACAAAAGTATAAATAAACTCTTAATTGTTAGTGAATATATTGTTTTGATGGCATACGCATTCTACGAAACTAGTTTCAACGATCCAACCGTCAAACTTGTTTGTTTATACTTTGAGATCATATACGCCAAAAATCAGAAAAAATAAACATTCAGAGATCAAGTAACGGGACAAAACTTTACGACGGTTATAAATGAAAAATCACGATTTAACAGTTATTTTAACTCCGATTTTGATGATTTTTTACAGCTACACTCCTTCACCCTATATGAATACAATGAACTAATTCGATCATCAATTTAAAATATTTAAACTAGTGGATACCACAAATTCTTATGTTATATTTAACAAAAGTATAAATAAACTCTTAATTGTTAGTGAATATATTGTTTTGATGGCATACACATTCTACGAAACTAGTTTCAACGATCCAACTGTCAAATTTTTTTGTTTATACTTTGAGATCATATACGCCAAAAATCAGAAAAATAAACATTCAGAGATCAAGTAACAGGACAAAACTTTTCGACGGTTATAAATGAAAAATCACGATTTAACAGTTATTTTAACTCCGATTTTGATGATTTTTTACAGCTACACTCTTTGACCTATATGAATACAATGAACTAATTTGATCATCAATTTAAAAAATATATTTTCTAACAAAAGATTTTAAAAAAGAATTTTTTTTATTTTATTTATTTTTATAAGGACTTTGCGCAACGAAGTTTATTGTTTTGTCGCGCAAAGTCGCTTTGCACAATGAATTGTTTTTCGTCGCGCAAAAACTTTGCGCGACGAATTGTTTTTCATCGAGCAAAGTGACTTTGCACGACGAATAGTTTTTCGTCGCACAAAATTTGGTCGCTCAAGACTTTGCGTGACGATGTATTGTCGTCGCGCAAAGTGATTTTGCGTGACGAAAAACAATTCATCGCGCAAGGGTGATTTTTTACTAATGTACATTAATCTCTTAATCTCTTATCTCTTTACACCATTTAGGCTTGTTGAAGGTTATATAATCTGGATTGGTTTTGATTTATGGTTCCATGGTTATGTGTGTGTGTGTATTAGTATGAAAGTGGTGCCAATGAAGGTGGTAGAGGACCAAGTATATGGGATACTTTTACTCACAAATACCCAGGTCTCTTCTTTGTATTGATTTTATGTTTACTTCTATATATATTTCGGCAGCTTTTGCTTTGGCTTCAAATGAGTTCATAAAATATTCCCCCTATGTTTCCAAAATATTTCATATGCTTAAGAATTAGATAACATAGCCGACGACAGCACTGGAGACGTAGCTGTTGATCAATATCATCACTACAAGGTACAAAGAACACAAAATATTATAAGAAATCAAGTACAAGAACAATAGGATTTTTCTGATCATATGCATACTTCTAACTATATTTTCACTGGGGCTATAATTATTTTCATGTTGCAGGAAGATGTTCGGATTATGCAGGAAATGGGCTTTGATGCTTACAGATTCTCAATCTCATGGTCTAGATTATTACCAAGTAAGACGACCAGTATACATGAATTCTTTACATATCCAGTCCAAAAGAAAAAAACTTCTACATACAACCAAGTTATTGGAATCACATTTTGGGGACAAATGTTTTTTGATCGAACCAACGTGTTGTGATTACTTACCTGTGTTATTATGGTACAATATTGTAATCTTAATGTATCCAAAATTTATTTCCAAATAATGTTAATTTGGATCATCTTATCAGATGAAAAGCTAAGTGGAGGTGTGAACAAAGAAGGAGAGTCCAATATTACAAGAACCTAACTGACGAGCTTCTCGCTAATGGTACACGACTCCTATGACTAATATATATTCTCCGAACTTCTCACTCTTCTGTAATTTAGAAATCAAGAAAGAAATGTTGTGTTGTGCTTAGCCAAATGCGTTGTATCTTAATGGTCGCTTTTTATGTGGTTCAATTCACACATGATCACAACCTAAACAAATTTAGCTCATTGACCGCTTCTTATTGAAGTATAAAGATGAGGACAGCCTTCCGGATTGCCCCTTTTTTTCGTGCAGCTTAAATGGA